CGGGGGGAAAAAGCAAGCAAAGACGACAACGACAACAACCACCACCACCACTGGCCATCCCCAAACGCCAACAGCTACCACAACCACCACCACCATCAGCAACACAACCAACACCATGTGGACGACCACCACAGACACAACCTCCACTACAAGCTCCTCCTCTACAAGCCACGACGAAAGCAACCTTATGCAGCACATCCAACAAGCGCTGCAAAGAGGTGCAGAAGCAGCCACCCCAGCCGTGCCACCACCACAACAAGCCAACACAGCATTGGTGGCACAACCGCCACCCGAAACCATCCCCAATAGCACCACGGGAGACACTCCCCAAGACCAACCCCTGCCAGCTGCCACAAGCAGCCACTACCCTACAGCCACAGATCGCATCGAACACTACCTTACTCGCATCCACAGACTCTCCCAACAACTACCAGGGGGGAACATGATAACACACTTGGCTGAATGCGCCCTGGCCGACTTACTTGTCGATGATCAGACCGAATCGGAGGTGCTTCGCCAACTTGAGCTGGAACATCCCTCTGTTCCGAGTGACGCGGGGGAACCCGAACCAAAGCGCGCTCGAACAGGAGCAACAACAGCATCCTCAACCCAGCAAGCCCTGCAGCGCATACTTACAAAAGCCTGGAAACACCTGAGTGCAGCGAGCAACCACAACCCAGTCTCATATCATGACATTCAGCACGACATTGACATCTTACTCACATGGCTAAATAGCCACCTGCATGCCATGGCCACGGCACGAGGCGGCCACCTCCAGCAATGGGGGAGCGACGAAGCTGACTTGAACTACGACAGGGGCATGTTCGATACGGGGAATGTCCTCGGCCAACTCGGCACAGCCCTTCAGGGGATCCAAATGGAACCTCAACAACGTGAACATTGGCTGTTGCTCGCAGATGTCAGCCACTACTTAGCAGCAGTTGAGCGGGGCGACCCTGTTGGCCACCCAGCTGATGTCATTGCGGAGCACAGGGGGATTGTCACATCTCATCTTGCTCGTGACCGCCGACATCGTTTAGCTCGGGGGATCGTCCTCGAACTGCAGTCCTTGCGAGGACAGCTACAGGAGTGGCCGGGTGGAGAACTCAATACTATCCACCGCGCACTCTTGCAAACTCTTGAAATGGTGGAAGAAGCACTACACCCTGGACTACCAGTACTTCCGGGAGCCCTTGAAGTGCACGATCCTGCCGGGGGACATGAACTATATCCTGGACACCTTGCACTCCCGGGAGCTGCTGAAGCGCACGATTCTCCCGGGGGACATGAGGAAGCTTTGGGCGAAATGCACCCCGCCCGAGAAAGGGGGATGCCCTCCTCCTCTGCTCATGTGGACTGGTGGCTCCATGACCGGCACCATGGCCTTGGAAATGCTCCCGGGGGAACCACTCGAGAAGAACGGAGCCCAACAGAAGACGTACCAAGTGGGAGTGAAGAAAGTCCCGCTGAACATCGGCGTCGCCGCCTACATGGAGCCTACTATGATCGTCATGGCCCCCTCTGAGAGCCTCTGATCCGGGGAATGCACTACCACCTCGTTTCTCCTACTGCTTTTGAAGCCTCCTGTATTGTAGCTTCAAGCCCTTCTGTGACCAACAAGGGGGACGAAACGAGCTTGGTATGCATGTACGAAAAGCCTCCCAAATACCCCGTGCCAATTGCTGCTGCTTCGATGCCACAAACGAACATACTATAAGCTGTTGTTGCGAAGTCTACTCATGCTGCCAGGACAAGTGCTGAATCCAGTCGATACGGTGGTCCTATGGTCCTATGTTGAGGTTTGTTTGGTAACTTGCGATTCAGCACTTGGAACACGAAGATTGTACCACAGCACGACGAAGGGGCTGGAATTATCCCTACCTACCTACTGACACTCCTGGTTTATAGTATCCGAGCTACTAAGGGAAATTCCAGCCGAAATTCAGCCATAACGGCCCAGCAGGACACCTCTACGGGGGATAACTTATACAATCTACTTTCTGTTTCTGGTTGTGAAATCTTTCTTCTGATGACGTCCTGCTTGAACTGGGGGAGTGCCCCCCACAGTGCTGGCCTGGGCCTCAGTCAGTCTGTGATGCTTGCATTTGAACGAATTCGTGATGAACCTCTTTTCCTATGTGTTTTATGATGCAAGCAGCATAGACATTTCAACGGGGGGAATGGTCCATCGGTACGTCCTTGCTTTACACATGCTTAGCCTCTAGGCCACAAAGGTATAGTTGTGTCATTGCTTTGCACTCCGAAATCCGGTGGACTCCCAACCCTGAAACTTTCTTGAACTATACAACCCCGAACAGTGATGCCGCAACGAAGATATCCTGTAATCTACTTTTTCCCTAAAAACACTTCGGCAACACGGGGGAACTGCAGACACAATCATCCTCCCGGAGTCATCCTTTATGCCCCCTATATATTTTTACGATCTTTGACACCGAATGTGATCTACTTTGGCACTTGAATAGGGGGAGATATAAGAATGACTATGCACGTGTTGAAGTGAGAGTCAAATGGGACACAGTTACCGCTATCGTATTTACTTTATGGCTCTAGCCGAAACTGTGTTCCTGACTCATTCTTCACCCCTCACACACCCGTTAACACAGCGGGGGGGCCATTGGCCCGAGGGCGTTGACCCGCCCTCATGCCCGGGAGAGAGAGAGAGAGAGAGTGGTGTCCCTGGCGAAAGAAAGACAGAGAAAGAGAAAGCCAGAATGCAGTGCGCTCCGCCAACCGCGGGCTGCCTCCAGCGGGGGGTTCGCCCCTCAAGCCTGGCGAAAGAAAAGCCAGAACGCGAGCAGAGGAGGAGGAGGAGGAGGATGCAACCCGAAGCGCGGGAGAGGTGAGGACTGCTATGCGTGCGATAAGAGAGCACAGTGCCTCGGAAGACATGCCACTTGATTGGGGGGATGGCGACAGTGACGACCCAGAAGAAGGAGCACAGCCAAGCCAATGGCCCTGGGGGCCGGAAGGAAGGCCGTCAGACAGAAGCACCATGAAGCACCACAGGAGTACATGCAGCCAGACCCAATGAACCGTTGGGGGAGCCGCCGGCGAAGAGTCAGAGTCCTAGGCTGAACACAGTCGTGGAAAGGCCCCGTGAACTTGAGAGGGAACCGCCACGCCAAGGCCGCCAAGCGGGGGAGGAACGCAACTACCTTGCTCCCAGCCTTACGTGGCAAGTCCGCCAAGTGCAAAGCTATATGGCCTCGAGAAGGAGGGCAACGGACTCGACAGGTTCCGGTACAGGGCAGTCGTGAGCGCTGTGAGGAAAATATCCCAATGCTTTCAAGTGCTTATGGGGGGACCAATTTTATGCATGCAGTTGTCTATGCTGAAGTGCTTGTGGGGGAGACTTTGTTTGTGATTATTACCAGTACTCATTGGCAACTAAACAGTTCTTTGTTGCTGTCCCAGTCACGCTTGCAACAGTCAAGCCTAATTCGACGGGCCGCGGAGCCATACACTACCACAATGCTGGGGCGCACCTCGCCCCTCTTTAACTGCAGCCCCTCTTTACCTGCACTTTGGGCGCACTTTCTGCACCTTTAATAGCAGCTTTCTACCAATTGACTGGGGGCACAACTTGAACTTCTCTCCACCAACATGAAACCGTGATTTTGCTTACGGGACGCGCCTGCACTTGTGACCTGCACGTTTCTGTGTTCCGTCGTTGCTTTAACAGTCAAGGCGGGGGAACCACACTCAAGCCACTGTGTTTGCAGGGGGAATGTGCCTGATGAGGGGCTAAGGACACGGCTTCAGACAGCGCGGTGACGAGGCTGGGATGCGGGCTAAGGTTCGGGGAGGGTTGGTTCCTTACCAGGCACACACCACCGGCTGCACCAACCTTCACCCAAAACCTTTGCGGGAAAAGACCCTACCAGTGAAAACCCCAAAGCCTCTTCCACCGTACAAACGATTACAAACGGGGAAGGGGGGCCTTGGCCCGGGTTCGCCTCGGCGGACCTAACCCCAGCAGCGAGAGAGAGAGAGACAGAGAGAGAAGGCAAGCAAGAGGACTGACACCGGCTTGCCGGTCCAGCTCCGCTGCTCTTCCCAGGTTTCATCAGCACACCAGACTCGGACACACAGCGTAGCGCACAGCGCAGGGTTCGAGGGTCTTTGACCCCTGGGCCCACACGCTGAGCCAGCAAGCAAGGACTCCATACCCCGAGCACAGCAAAGCAAAGAGCGAGAGAGAGAGAGAGAGCAATATGCGGATAGCATATCGTCCTGTTGAGCTTTGAGTAGGCTCTAAGTCGAGTAGGCTCTTAGTCGAGTCGTTGTTTTGGAGCCCTGGCTGCACGCCTCGGGGGGCAGGACCACGAGCTTCGGGCCTGAGTAGGGGGAGTGGAGCTCACCCGCACTGTTGGAGAGACCTCGGATGACCCGACTAGAACTTGCAGGTTTTATACGGTCATGGTCTTAGCAGGTGTGTTTTGGGGGGAAGGGTCGAACAAGTTCAATCGGGGGAACGAGTGATTCTCTCAACCCCGCAAAAGGCCGTTCCGACCTTGGATCGCGCGGACCGTGGGGGGGTAGGCCCTCGGGCCAGGGTTCCCCCGGGAGCCCATACCCCTGCGCAAGCAAGCAAGCCAGCAATATGCACGCATGCCACCTGAAGCCGGGGGCTAAGCAAGCAGTTGTGAGCCCTTTTTCGGGCCTGCACCGCGACGAGGCCCGGTGGTTGCTAATAGTTAGTGTAAAGGGTCGGGGGATTCGCCGGTTCAGACCAGTGCCTCAGTCGCAGCCGCGAAGTGTCACAGACGAACCTCAGACCCGTGCGCGCACGCGCGCGGGGGCTTAGGCCCCTTATCCGAGCGCAATCAAGAGAAAGAGAGAGAGAAAGGTACATGATCAGATGGAAGACTGTGAAAATTAAAAGCAAAGTTGAATTAAAGGCTGCTTCGAGCCAGATGAGCCGGGTGGGCAAGGTTTTCCAAGGAGGTTGCCACTTTGCTTGGCACAGTCTTTGTAAGGTGAACCTCCCCGCACCGTGGACGAACTTCTGGCAATGCAGACGCCCATGTCCACCTGCGCCCGGGCACATCATGAGGTTGGTGCTGCAAGTTTTACCGCGAGGGAAGAACAAAGGGACGAAATCATGCGAGAACGGGAGATACGGTTAGTGTCGCTATGCGCACTGAACATGCGCTCATAGAGCCTCTTTTCTTCAGACCTCTTTCGTACAAGTTGCTACAGTATCTGCTTACACGACAGTTAGACCGATCCTCCGCCCTCACTCGTCAAGGAGCATTCACGCGCTGTTTGTGCTTGCGCGCAGAGGTAGACACTCTGCGCTGTGTGGTTATATGAGATGTTGACGTAAAGCTCGTCTTAGAGCTCGCCAGAGTTAGCCTATAGCTACGAAAACCAAAAAGCCAGCCAAACAAACAAACAAGCAATTGCATGTGTATGTGTGTATACATGTACACAGATACGAACCCTTTGAATACGAAAACATCTATGCCTTGTCGCTTTGACTCATCATCTTTCCAGGTGCTGCACACTGAATACTACCCCGCTACCTCTTCACAAAAGGCCAGGTAATGTTCAATGTAAGGGGCGGTGCGCGAATAAGAACCTGATTCAGTTGTTGACCGCTTTCCACTGAACCGCAGTAAAGACGGGGTACAGCCTGAATCTACAATGACAGTTTGCAAAACCCGGACCACTGAAGCCGATGGGGCACTTTTAACGCAAGCCATTAGCTTGATTTTGGAACTGTTCCCCGTTCACATCAAAAGATCCACTTTCCCAACTATCAAAGCCATTTCCTGTTTAACATAATTTCTTATTGTACTGCTATTGTGTTGGAAAACTCAGCGCTGCTTTCTGACCTCTTCCGTTTGCAATGTTTGCGGGCTTTGCAGTCTTGCTTACCTTCCTGAGGCTTCAGTGCCAATGCAGTCACTGTGGTTCTACGTTCGTAAAGCACCCTGCGATCGAGTATTGGCGATGAAGTGTGAGAATGCCCAAAGGGCAACTCCTTAATTTTTGGGGTGATTCCGAGTCTGCTGGATTTTGGCGTAGGTGTCTGTGGTGTTTGTTTAAGTTGTGTCGTTTTGCCACAAGAATCCATTGGAAACGCGAGGGCTTCTGGATGAAGGCAGAAGCCCAAGGAAATCTCAGGAGTATCGGGCTTGCCGAAAAAACCTAAATTGTCCATGCATCTGCGACGGTTAAAGACCCAGCAACTGGTCTGGAAGGTGATGGATGTTACTTAACTTTCGCTTTCCATCTCTCACCACTGAAGATCCAAAAGTTCTTCGTTATGCTGCAAGAGCCCAGAAATGTGCTAGTCTTCTCTTGCTTCTTCGCAGATTGCTGAAACTTCCTACTGTAGCGCCTCTGTTGGGTTTGTACAGAAACTCAGAGAAATCCTAACTGTTCTAGTCTCTCCCAGAAATTGAGAATAAAAGGAAAGTACAAGCTTTCTCAGCTTTTTCAATGCAAATCCGAACACTCACATGTTTTTGTTTTTCTGCAATAATCGGCAATTTCTATGTGTATGTGACGAAACACCTTGAAAGTTTAGAGTTGCGCCCGGAGCCTGGTTAGCGCTGCCGACGGAACCGTGGCGGCAACAACAACGATGTATATAAATAACAGTAATCACACAAACACGTCAGGGAAACACCGCAAATCTAGAAGTTTGGGTGAGGTTGGGAAGGATGGGGACTATTGCTGTTCGTGGTTTCGGTCGTAAGGTCACATTTCTTGTGCCATGGGTTGTACACATGTCAATCTCGAAGTGGACAGGAGTGTGCAGGAGTTGAGGGATGTTCCAGATGAGCACGCGCACAATCAGATCGTTCGACAGCATTCGTATGGACATAAATTCGGTTCATGCTTGTAGTAAAACAATAAGTACGAGTACCCTCCAAGCCACACTTGGCGCTGCATTTACAGTGGGAAAGACGTCCGTGGGGGGAGAGGATGTGTGCTTTGTATATGTATCTCTATCGTTCTCTATCTATCTATCTATCTATTATGTTTTTGCCGGGCCTGCCCCGCCCCCCCCACCCCATTGTATCCCCCGCCCCAACCCCCTTTCGTGCTCCTGTGTTGTGGTGCCTGTGGTCTTGCTTGGGCTCCTGGTCTCTCGGCTTCTTTGTGTCCCTCCTCGCCGTTTCGGTGGTGCCTGTGGTGTTCGCCATTTCTGAGGATAGTCAGGAACACCGACCCTCTCTCCAAGCTCAAGTCCAAGTGTTGTGTTTGCTCCAGCATGCCACCAAACAGAAGCTGCAATCTTGGCTGCCTCTCTGTGCACGTTGTGATTACCCTGCTGGTTGCTGAAGCTAGCAAACCCACAGAAGTATGCTTACAGCTAGTTGTCGGCAGTTGCAGTGTCATCCTTATTGCGGTTGTTGCTACACTAGATGTAGCGGTTTTCCTCCCTTTTCCGTTGCCGATGGTGCCATTGTCGCTGTGGTATAGTCGTCGATCTGGTGCACTTGCGGAGCATTGCATTGACTTCCAGCGCCTCCTCCGCCCTGTGGTTTGGGTGGTGGGTTCTGTTCCGGTGCGATCCGTGTTCTGCAACCTGAACCACAAAAACAAAGACAATCTGCTATTCACGATTACATGCCAGCTACTTATGCCAGGTTTGAGAAGGGAAGTTGCCTTGCATGTCGAAAACTTGCGAGAGTCAGGGGGAAAAAGTTCAATCTCAGCGACTATTGGCGGGGGTGATATCGCGATGTCGATCCCATCCTCCGAAAACGAGGACTGTCACAACGATCGTGGCCCCAGCCAGCTCGATCCCGGTGACTGTTGTCACAGACAGCCCTGGGTTGATACCATGGGTGGGATGGGGCTGCATGTTGTGTACAAACGGTGATTATGCCTCGTGGCATGCGATGTGTGGTATGAGATATCCTCACCAACCGCTTATGTAATTCATCCGGCGGTACCTGTGGTATCCGTAACATGAACCCCGAATTTAACAAGTCATGGCGACCTCCAATATTACTTACTCGACTCGTAGTATTGATACAGGTAAGCTGGATACAGTCCAAATCCTATCCTCAACGGTGATCGTCATATTCATGCTAATATGAAACCTCCAACAATGTTAGTCATAACCATGAGGAGAAGTTCTCAGATGTGGCATTGCCCAATGACGGCCCGCAGATTTAACGATGACAGGTATTTGCTTGCTTAATTTTGCTTGCTTCAACATAATGGACATAGTGTTTACTGCTGTAGATGCCCTGTCAGAGCTACTAGAAATCGTAGTGGTGCGTGTAATGACCTTGATATCCTGGGCTGTCATAAATCTGCAGTGCTAGCTCTCAATTCACCCCAAAAGCTCGCCCCCTCGCAAACCTGTCACAGCACTGGACTGGCAAAATCGTGACACATCAGAGTTCAGAAGACGCACTTGAATGCTCGTGGCAATGGCTCATTGGTAGTAGTAGTCGTAGTAGGCATGGCCTGGCGCAGTAGCAGTAGCAGCAACAGCGGTAGCAGTTTTGTTGTTGTTGCCACTGCTGGTGTTGTTGGTGGTGGCGTTGTTGTATATTTCACATATTCATGTCTTCTAGTTTTATGTAGCAGTGGCGGTGCAAGTGGAAATGGTGGTAGGAGTGATCGCTACCTGGTAGTGATGGAAATTTCAGACTACAAACTCCGATTTCTGCAGCAGCGGAGTGGTGGTGGGCGGAGTAGGGGTGATGAGGTGGCTTGGGAGGTGGTTCTTGGATCCCGTTTGTCTGCAGGCGAGTGAAGTACAGAGTTTCCGTAGTTAGGCCCGTCTGATTCTCCATGAAGCTCAGGAGCCTTGTGCAGCAATCCGGAAAATGATAGCGATGATGAGGATGAAGAAGGTAGGAGAACTATGCATCGCATTGAACAACCAATTGTGCCTTTCCAGCCAGAGGGCGAGGCCGCCGTTTGATTGCCTCACAGGGTTTTACTTTCTGTCTTTTGGGTAGCCGAACCTCCAATCGCAGACCACTGTTTCAAGAAGACATTGTGGGAAGGGGCCGATAAACAGAAGCGCTATCTTCATGCCAGCCCTTCCTCTCGGATACGTTCCACTTGCCTCCGGCGTCTGAGCACGACGAGCATCTTTGATGAGCTTCAATGCCCCGGCGAAAGTGAACTAACTTGTAGATTCTAGAGCTTCCGACGCTGGGAGGCAGATTGTCAGGGGCCACCTTCCTGGCTGCTTCGGAGAAAAAGTTCGGCTGCATCCGGACACGGCATGACACAGTCAAAGTGTTGGCCAATGCAAAGAATCCGCATTGCCGACAGGCCGCCTGTTGAGAAGTTGCGCTTGACAAGGCCGAGCTTTGGGTGAGCGGAGAAAGCTCAGAGCGCTTTTTCGGTTGAAGTTGGAGCCGGGTTGCCAGGCTTGGATCGCCATGGTCGGCCGCGATCTCAGATCTTTGCTGCAGCGGTGACCGTGCTAGCGGGTGAGATGCTGTTGCCTCTGCTTGAGCTCAAGGCGCACGTAGACATACGCCTGTGTTGTCCTACAAAAGTAAGGTTTCAACCTAGGGTCCGAGTTGCCCCTCACGCAACGGCTACGATTTGGTTCGCAACTTAGCATGCCTGCCGACGGCTTCTGGTAGGTCAGAGACCGTTGTTCTCGGCCACTGCTCGGAGTTCTTCGCGATGAATTCCTGAGTCATGAGCCCACATCCGTTGCTCTCAGAACCTCGACGGTATTCGTTTAGCGATGCTTGATAGCTTAAGATTGCGTCGGCCAGACAAACCGTCTTTGTGGGCATTGCAGCAGCTGACAACAGTGAATTCACCTGACATGGTGATTGTGCAGACAGCGACACCTGCAAAGGCTGCCAAGGCACCTCTGGCATTTGGCATCCACATGCCCAGACTAAACTGCACAATTTGCGTGGACTGGACTTGGTGAAGCCCGTCCGGATCTAAGAGCTTACGCGAGGCACTGATGAACATCAGGTGGACGACAAGGCTGGTGGCATTGCGTCGCACCTTTTGGCAAAGCCAGACCAGCTGCCGTGCGAAGGTTGGCTGATTTTCGTATTGGGCTCACGGTGGCAATTCGCTGTATGTTAAGGAAGGAGCCACAGGTGATGTCAGATTCAGTTGGTGCATGTTGGTGCTACAGCAACGGCACCAGCGATATTCCATCAGCAAGGTGGCGGCATCAGATCTGTCACACCTTATCGTCTGGGGTCAAGGCCGCAGGCAACGAGTGTGGGAATTGACTCCTGCGGAGTGGACGACCTTGCCGAATGACGTGATGAGTGCACACCGGGCATCCCATGCACGCATGCTGGCAGCACTTGCCTCCAAGTTTCTTAGGCATACTTCGAGACTCGCCCAGCATGGCACATATTTTGTCCCTTGTTTCTCGGTTATCTGTCCCATTGTGGATGGAAATCAGCTTGCAGCGCTCTGAGCTGGAGTCCCAACAGTCTGAGCTGCAGTCCCAGCGGTCCAAGATCAGCTCGCTGTAGTCCCAATTACAGACAATGATGTTTCACTTGAACCCGACGGAAGGAATGCAGAAAGTGAGATGCGCTCCCTTTTGGTTGTTTCTGATTCTGCGGCATCCTAGTGTATGCTCCTTTTGTTGCTCGCCTCGTTGTGCTCTTCCCCTGGTTGATGTTCAAACTCAGAGCGCCGAGGCGAGCTGCAGACAGCAAGACGGCAACAAACGGGGGTGAGAAAATCGACGAGGAGAAGCTGCTTCTGAGTCACTGTTGTCACCCTACACTTTGTGACGTCGCTTTCTTTCCAGCCTGGGAGCTTCTACGCACCGCAGCGGGAGTGAAAAGTTTGACAACTCTTCTTGAGCGCTTTTCCAGGCGGCATACTTCCCGCTCCGCCGATGCCTGGCGCCTGCGCGTAATTGCCAGTCGACGCTCATCTGCCAGCCCGCCCGCCGATGCTCATCCGCCCGCCTGTTGATGCCATCGCCGGCCCGCCAGATCCACGCACCAGCTGATGCTAAGCCGCGTTTGCAGTCATCAAGCGGTAGTGGTAGTGGTATTACTAGTAGTAGCAGGAATAAGTATCAGCCTGTTGATGTTGCCTCACGACCAGAAGCTTCAAAACCAAAGCTTCCCAACAAGCAAAACTGGCCCACTCCAAACCGGGGCCGACGCGATTCCGCATCACACTGGCCGATTTGGGCTTGGTTTCATTGCAACTGCTGTAGGCTTTGGATCTCGGCATCACGGACGCATCTCAAGAATGCCGAGAGAAACAGGGACGGTTGGCTGGGAGTTCATGGCAGTTGCTGATTCCGAATCTTGATGCTATTGCAACTGCGACATCTCAAACGTGCCATCATCATACATCGGCAGGGGTGGTCTAGTGTTTCGATTCTCGTAGCTCTTGAACAGGTCGAGAGGGGCAATCCGAACACGAAGAGCAAGCCTGCCTACATCCACTGACAGGGAGGGAGGCATCTCAGAAATCATGGGCGTCACACCATGGGGTGGGCGGGAGGCTACACACAGGCGTGGGAATTCACTCGCTACCCACCCACTTGTACCAGGGAGACTAGCCGCCCGCAAGAGTGAGCATTGGTACTTGATACTTCCTCTCTGCGGTGGGGAGAAGCTGCAGAACTATGCGGCGTATACAGCTGCTTCAGGCCAGTTTGAGTCTTGCTGCTCCGCGGCTGTTGTTGCTTCATGGTTCACGAAAAGCTTCTTAAGACGATGTTCAGAAGCACCCGTCAGGATGCATCCATATACTTGCGCTGCCGACGAGCTTCTGAGACCAGCCGACGTGAGTGCAGATGGAAAAAGCTCAGTTTAAGTGGCCGCAGCTTGCACTGTCTTTTGCTCCCATCGAGGCCTGAGCCTGGGGAAGCTCCTGAGGACGAGGGTGTGGAATCGTTTGCAGAAGGACCACGCATGCGCCCCAGACTAGAAACTCACGGCCGGGTTTTGAAGCATGCTAAGACCTTAGAGCCTTGGAGGTTGTGTGGTAATGGTCACCAGTTGTCGATCCGATCAGGGCCGGTGTGTCTCATGTTTTGGATCTTTGGGATTCTTTGTGGTTTATCATCATGGGGCAGCGCTGCATAAGACAGTTTGGTGAAAGTGTTCGGGGAACATGCGGTGGTGGCAAGGAGGCAGAAGCGCAAGAGCTTTCCAGATGGGCTTCTGAGCAACTTGCATGAAGTAACCAACGCTCTGCCTTCTACAAGCAGACTCAGAACACAGAGGGGCTGTGCGGCTGTGCTTTTCAATAGCAGTTTCCCAACACAACCTGCCACCGGATGTGCTTGACCCACGATATTCCCAACCCTGGCCTGGTGCGGTGAGACCTTCAGTGCTGCAAAACAGAAAGAAACAACTCAGTTGGAGGAAAGCCTGGGGCCGATGCCCAAAACGGTCCGTGTTGCCCTTTTGTTTGCTCGTGATGTCACACTCCTGAGGGCGCTGCAATTTGTGGCAGAGTGTTCAAGCGCTGGTCAGGCACTCAGAGCATCAGACCTCCACTGCAGAACTTCAGGACTCACACACATGCCTTTGCTAGCTGGGAGCTTTTCGCTTGTACTGTATATCATACAAGGCAAATCTCAACCCTAACCCTGAGCCTGCGCTAACCAAATCTTCGCAACCTCGTGACGTTTTTGGGAGTTTTGAAACGTCGCTATCGCATGAGGAATCGCGGCGATGCCTCGGTTTGAATACGCGGCTTGTAGGTGGGTGTTCGTTAAATCGCTTGTTGAAAACTCGGCCGTTTGGTTGTGGGCCCGTGGGGTTCCGGTAGCAAGTATCGAAAAATGTCACATGTTCCAGTCTTGATTGATTGATCTTTTACATCGTGCAGGCAGGGATCCAGGCAGGGGATGTCGGGCTGAGGTGTCTCCATGCACATCTCTGCGCGGCAGCTTGGGATGCAGAAGAGTGAGTGGAAGGGTGGCGGGGCGCAGGGGGACGCTTGCAGATTCTACTGTATTGAGTAGGTGCGTGTACTTCGTGTACGTGCCAAGTACAAGCTTCTGGCTTTCACGGGCCAGATATCGGAGGTCTTCTGGAACGACTGCGAGCCGGTTGACATTTGTATGCCAGCGACCCAAGACGCATAAGCGTGGAGAGCCTCAGGTTTGTCCTAGCAAGGTGGGAGGCAGCAGGAGAAGCTTGCAGGATCGCAGTCCTCGCAGCCTCAGGTCAGCCGGTGGCTACCTACTTCCGTGAATGTCAGATCGGAACATGCTCAGAGCTTTGCTGTTCGAACCTCGTTTTGCTAACTCGAGGCAAGGACGTATACAAAGCACGCACCTGGCCTGCTGGATTGCGGGCATCAACTGCCTCATTGCGCTGCGAATAGCTCGGATATGCTCGGATAGACCATCGGGAGCTTGAGCCGAACGCTGGAGCTGTCGTCATACAATATGTGTTGCTACATGGCTGACTGAGGGGATGTCGTAGTGGAACCCGTTCGACAAGGTTTTTTGGAGACCACCCCGCCCGCTTGGCAGCCCGTCAGGCCATCTTCATTGCTTCGAGGGTTATTGCCACTATGTCGTAAGATCAAGAGAAATTTGCATGGCATGGCAAGCACGCCTGTCACCCTGTCAGCCGCCCCCCCTTGATTTCTCATAAATGCGTGTTGCGCATTCTTGCCTAGCAGAGCGATGAAGCATTGTACATAGGGCACAAGTCCCACTAGTCCCCGAGGCTTGAGGCTTGGCTCTGCAGAGACACTCGCGTACTTAGGCAATTTCAGCTGATGTTGCCAGCCTATATACTTTCCAACATGGAATGTCTGTGTCTGCCGCAAATTGCGGCGAGGGGTGGTGCTTGCTTTGGGTGCTTCCTGCATGCTTGCACTGTAAGGCGGTGCACTACAGAATTGTACTCGGCAGTTTGCACGACGACATAGACGAGATCGCGCGAGCTGTAAGCTGAACCTCCCGTGTTTTCGAGCGGGGAGAAGCCTCCATGTGAATTTTTGTGGTCGGACGGTACCTGCCTCGCCACCGAGGCATTCCAAATCTCAGCTAGCTGCAAATTTTCTAGTTCGAGGTATAATTAAGGACGACCGCAGAACAAACATGCCTGTAGGTAGGTCACTGGCACTGTTGTCCGGGGCCTGTCTCGCCAGTCGACAATGGAGCCTTGCGACTTCACTTCAATGCTTCGGAAGTCTCTGCCTAGATCTTGCAAATCAGTGGCAGCGAGTTCGAAATGCTTTCGGCACTTGGTGTTTTTTAGACAAGCATCAGGTAGTAGTACCCTTGCATCTAAAAGTTGAAACACCTGTGAATAATGTCAAGTGCAGCTTGCATGGAGGCCGCTGCCCAGTGCAAAACAAACTCTTCGGCAGGTGGACACGGTGGAGTAGGCACCATGCTTGCTAACTGTACCGGCGGCACCGGTTTATATGTCCAAGTGGGTGGCTCAAAGAGATTTCACTGAGTGGTAGTTTGCCTAATACATCACAAGCTTCCTTGTGAGCCGAGGCCCTAATCACATCAGCATGATGCACACAATGTGCTTTGAGAGTTGGGTACACAGGGAGTCCCTGCTGTAGATCGAAATGACCTGCTGGTGACTTGTGCCATGCTTCTTAGCAGGGCTAGGTTCCCAGTGCATTGCAGCTGGCAGTGATTTCAGTAATCCCGCCCAAGCATCTCGCTGGACATACTAAGGGGTACAAGCAAACGGGATCCAACACTTTGTCGTTTACTCTAAGGGGAGTTCGAGCTCTTTGGATTCGAGAACTCATCCCTCCAGCAGTGGACAAGCATTTTTTGCAGCTAAGGGGACATCCTCGGTGCCGTAGGGTTTCCCACAGGTTCTGTGATCTACGCATGAGACTGGCTGCCACCGCCTGGGAGTTTGAAAGGTGGAGAGGCTTCTTCCACGACAGGAGAGCCCACAGGGCAGAAATTGTCATGGCCTGACTGGCTTTTTCGTGCAAGCAGGAGGGGCACGTCCAGTGAGTGTGCCTGTTTGTCTCTCTGTCTGTCTTTGTTTGTGTTTTTGGGGATCGAAAACCGCAAGGATAGCACGAGCAGGAACACGGCTCCCCTCGCCACGTTGACTGGACGTTCTCTCACACTGTAGATTCTCGCTGGTGTGCACAATTGCCTCAGCTCTAAGCTTTCTGATCCATCAATATCGCTTTGATGCCTGGACTGTCGTCGCTCAAGCTTGCTACCTTGAGGAGGGCAGGAGGAGGGGATAAGTGAATGGATCAGACTCACCGCATGTCTTTCCAGGTCAGCCTGGATCTGTGCATAGACTGTACACTGGGCTGCAGGCGTCGGCTCTCGACGCGCGCCTGAGCATCATCCGGAACAAAGTAAGCAGGAGACTGGACACTTATCTTGAGGCTGTGCGTCCTCAAAGCCTCTACGTGAATGCCATGGTACGCCAACCCTTTACGAAAAGCCCGATATGATTCTCCAGTGCGCGTGAGCCGAGTGCAACAGCCTTGTGATGTAGATCCGAAGACAATTATGAGTCGCTCGCACGGGATGGCCGAGGGAATTTGAATTCCCTCCCGGGCGCTCAACGTGCTTGCATCAGCCTTTGGCCTTCACAAGTCGCAGAAGTCAGGGGCTGGAGAACAAGCTCAAAGCCTCAATTCTGATTAACCTGAAATGACCGACGCTCGGGTTGATCAGCTGCTTTCAAGCGTTTGAAAAAGGCGAGTGGCATTTTCTCGTTTAATCAAGCAGCGCGCTTCATGTCAAAATCATTTGGTATGTGCCACCTCCTGGAGATCAGCCTGTGCAGCAGGCCTCAACAATTGGCTTATAGATTGCAAACTTCCCGGTACTTCAACAGTTCCTCATCTCTGGATGTTGCAGTGTAGCTTGAAGCACCACTTTCAAGGACTCATGCCTGCACGCCCAAACTGTGCTTCGTCGGCATCACGTCAGCCTGTCGCATCCCGAAGTGCTAAACAACTAGAAACCGCTACTGCCCCGAATCACGCAGCATGTTTGGCGGCATCCCTGTGTTCCTCCGTAGCATGGGCTATATGTCAAGGGTCAATGCCGCCACAGCTAGTGAGCAGAAGAGTACAGGAACCGGCATCATATGATGTGAAATGTCATATAACCTGTCTATCAAACGAGCAGGAAAGAATATGGCAGCAGTCAGCAGTGTTGGGGTCCTGACTGTACAAACCATATCCCAGCCAGCCTTACTTACACGACTGCCCACCCACTTGTCTAGCATTGTCTCTTTAGCTGTGCGACGGTGGACTTGGGCTATAAGCTGCTTCGCACGGCGGCTGTTGCGATGCACGGTGCAAGCCCTGGAGTCCGACTGGATTCTCAGGGCTTTGGCTTCAGAGGGTATGGTACTGTAATGTGGGCATGAACATGTGTGTAAGGCAAGGGTATACACAGCAACGTAGCCGTGACAACTGATTCTTGTTGAGTGCGCTTTCCTTTTGCATTGATGTCTTGGGAGTATTGGGAGTATCTCATGTCATGCTTCTGTATGTGGTGTTATAGTTCGGAGACAGCTTTCACTACTCAGTAGTGAGTTGCGTACGCCGGCGGCTGCAGCTGAGGTTATCGTCCAGCATGGAGCTTAGCCAACTTTTTTCAGCTCACTGCTGCACCGGCGTAATGTCGGAAAACTGCGAGAAGGTGTTGGCGCTTCAGGTGATTCCAAGCCCCAAATTGTAATGCTTTTTTTGCAACTACTTGAATTCGGAATCTCACCCGTGTACTGCAGCTGAGCCCATTTCTCATGCTTTCCAATCACCGAGGTATCCAGTTCGCAGGACAGCTGCTGCTTGGATGGCCAGAAGTTTGGAGCCGAGAAGCTATCCCAATCTCCTGTTATTCTGTCACGTAGATGGCTTCACGCCCAAGGCTTTGTGTCGCCACTTGACTGCACTTAGCATTGGGCACACGTCGGAGCCAGCAGCAAGACACGGGAGAATCCGCACCTGCCCGAATGCCCCGTGGAGCTTCTGCTCAAGAAACGTCGCCAACCGGTCGTACACAGCGCTCATGCAGCGAAACAGGAGTTCGGATTCCGGCTCTGGCTGCAGCCGGTTTGCCGGAAACCTTCCAACGAGTGTTGGAGCGCTGAGAGCCCACATGAACTTGAGATTCCTGGAAAAAGGCTCGATTCGCGCACCTGAAGGTTTGGAAGATGCTTCTTTCCGTGACACCACACTGTCAGGCTGAAACTCAAGCGATCGGGTGCGTTGTGGAATTGTGCTCACAACATCACAGCTTGAGGATGGGCTTAACTTCTGACGAGTGGTCCAACGTGATCGCGCCTGCCGACCTAACCACCTCGCCTGCAGAGTTCGAGTTGCGAGAGTCCAACAGGATTCAACGGGGCCGTGGACCTTCAGCAGTAGATCTCCTGCTTGAAGAAAGCTGGGTCAAACTGGCTTCAATTTTGTATTCAGATGGGCTCCGCCAGCAGCATCGCGTCAATGGTTAACCAGAACATGCAGCAAACCAGTCAAAGTTTCGTGAGCCATTCGGAAAAACTCGATAAAAGGTCCAACCCAACCGTGTGAAACGTTAAAGCCCAGCCCCGGCAAAGCCTAAGCCTGCTGGACACCAACCGCAGTACGTGGTGAGCGTGCTAGTGCCAGGACAGAAGAGTTCTTTTTGAAGTTCCGTTTCTTTACCACACCGCCCTGGGTATAATACCTGCAGCGGCTGCACAGGTTGCTTGCTGCATGATGAGTTTCTTGAGCATCGGTACAGCCAGTGCCTCGAACTTCACAGCGCAACTGATGATTCCATGCTGGAAGCACGCGTGGACCCTGATGGAGTGCGACACCGTTCTTCTGGTCAGATACGAGTACTTGCGGCTCCTTGCCTCGGAGAGTCCGACGTAACACAACAGCCCGACACAAGAAGCTTCAGCTAAAATCAAACGACCCAACCGCCTCAAGCGTCCTTGATCTTGATGCAAGACGGGCCTTCAAGCCATTAGGCAGCGATGCTCCACCTCGCCCCACACCACGTGGCTGCTGGTGCTAGCTACGTAGGGCTCGACCAGAATGCGGCTACGACCTCAGACCAGAGGAAGGCATTCCATTTGCCTAAGCAGAACGCTCCACATGTCGCGCATGCAGTAGTGGCATGTTTTGCCCTGTTATTGCGTGGACATGCATATCAAAATTCTATCGCACGGCCTTGAGGTTCACGGCATGCACCAGCACGTCAATCATTGGGTCGTCAGCCCAGAGATCGAGATAAGGACTGATGACGTCACGAGGTGGGAGTATTTGATGGAAAGGTTTGAAAGCTAACATGTGCAATTAATTACACAGATGTGTCAGATGCGTGTGTGTGTGTGTGTGTTTCCTTTCTCATGTGCCTGTTGCACACCCTTTGGTGACCGGGCCCACGATGCTTCCGAATCTTCCGGTCAACAGCCTTGCGAGCGGACCTTCACAAGCTACTGAACCGGTTGATCGCTTCTGGATGTGAGCAAGGCGCAGCGCTCTGGGCTAGATGCCCACCTCCAACGAGCAGGGCAGTGGGCGCAGACCTTGGAGCCTGAACTGGTTTCGTTTTTCAGTTTGGAATACTACAGAACGGTTCGAACTTGCGGCGATGCGAAGGGCAACTAGGAATGCCTCCTGTCGCTGCTGCTGCTTTAACCTCCCATACATAGTCCCATAGCGTTGACATGTGGAGAAGTCTTCAAGTAGGCAAATCCGTTCTCATGACTGCTTTGGTGTATTTGCCACTGGCATTCGCCGACCCAGTGCGGCATACCCGGCATGCGGAAACCAAGCTACAGCCTAAAGTCTTAGCCTTTGCAATGTCTGCTCAGCTCGTGGACCAAGTTGCCCGAGACTGTTAAAGGTAGCTGGAGTCGGCCATGACATGCACAGAGTTGGAGCTGATTTTGCCGGCTTCTGAGCTCTCAAGTCTGCTCCTGCAAGCTTGCTGTGAAGTTCACCGCACGAGGCAGACCATTCTGGACTTGATCAGCACATGCAGCGTGCTGGGGATTGGGCATGGACCTAAGCTCTGTGAGACAATAGACAAGCTGAGTCTCATACCCGCTCCTGCCTGGATTTGAGCAGCCGCAGGCGCGGGAAGTACATCAGCAATTGATGGGACAGCTGCCGTCTCAACCTGTTGTCTGCTGTGTTCGATATTACAGTGCTTCACATGTAACGTCTTGAATCTCGGTCTTTGCGGGCATTTCAGTTTCTGCACGTGCGGTACTGCAATGCAATACAGTGGATGCACAGCGTTTCCAACATTGCAGGATATTGCTAGCATGGTGCTTCCATAAGGGACCAGATCCTCTCGCCGTATGACTGCACGACAGCTGATATTCCGGAATGGTCGCAGCCCGAGATGAGACGAGGGCTCTCTTGAGACTAGACCTCTTGAAGACTGTGTGTTGTAGGGTATGTGAAATGAGGTCACGCGCACACAAAGAGTGGTGCTGCGAGCACCAAGACACCGCGCCAGAGCCCCGAATCGCCCACCGAGCTTAAGGTTGCTGGGGTAGACGCTCTGAATGAAAAGTTTCAGGTGTGGTGCGAGGATTAGTCGTGAGCAGGTGGACATCAGTGAATGCAACCGGACGATGACGCGACACCCAGATATCGACGTGACGGGCTCTCGTCATCGTAACTTAATGCGTGAGCCCATGGAGAGCTCAGTAAGACTGCAGCTCGGCTGTACTGTCGGCCGTTCTCGGAAAAGCCGCTGCACAAGGCCATCTAGGCATCATTGATCATGAAATTCGCCGCTGCACATGATGAACAACGAAGCACACAGACCTCAACTCTGCAGGTGTGCGGAAGCCTCCACAACTGTCTTGCCTTCGTGTTGTTTCGGATTTGCACTAGTGACATTGGTGCGTGAGCGTTCAAGTTGCGCAGAGCAAGAACAGGGATATTGGCAGTCGAGATGTCCGAGCTACAAGCGTCAACGGCACGGCCAAGCAAGTTTGTCCGGCCAGGCGTCGACAAGCCCGTCACCGCAGCATTACGTGCCGCCGTGAGAGTGAGCAGAATACCTGAAGATTTTCCCATATGGGTGAAATTTCGCGCAAACTTGTGAGCACCACCACATGACTCCAGCCTGCTCACTGAGTGAACACACAGCCATGACATGCGGAGAAGCAGAGAAAACCGTGCCTATAGTGACTTGCTTGCCGAGATGTGGATCTCCGTTCCTCTGCACAAGGGGAAGTGCGCGATAGCAGTGCAGCGGCATGTCTGACAAGCGGTTCGTGGAAGAACTGCGATGCAGGTATGACTGCGCAGCTGGCATCGACAACTGGCTGAAAGGCTTGCCGCGAGAAATTACCAAAGTATGTTGGTCTCTCGCGGATGCCTGCATACCGCATACCTGAACTCAAGGTTGGTCGCATGGCGATGGCCTTAGCGTTTTGCTGGCTTGACTGTACCAAACCCTTTCGCGACATCACACGCCTATCTCCCGAGCGGCAGTCGCCGCGACCGCTGACCACGGCCAGTTAGCGCACACCGATTGGCTGTTCACATGCTCGTAATTGGCTTGAATGGCCGTCTGACAGCTCAGGCAAACAGAACTGGTGCTGTCAGAACAAAGGCATCGGCTGCTTGCACGAGGTTAGCCGTGATCTCAGGTTCTGCCGACAAACTCGGTCTCGACGGCATTCCAGCACGGCCCATTTCGGCTTCAGCTTTCCCGACGTGCAAGTCCGTTAATTCGCAGGCGTCAGACCACCCAGCACCATGTCAGCTGCGTGTCAGTCGTTGACGGAATTAACCGATCTACAACGAGTGAGGAACCGCACCAACTGCCAAGCATTCTTGCACACCGCCTTGCTGGCCGCATTGCCTGCGTAGCTCGAGGCACGCCAGACAGCCGGCGGTGCCTGTGGATGCTACTGTTGCACATTTTATTCTGGCCGCCATGACTCGCCATATGTGTTCAACCAGCGAGATACTTTTACAGGGCACCATTGCATGTCCCCAGACCTATGAAGATTCGAATCGATTTTCGTGCTGGTCAGGACTATGGAGGCAGCCACAAGGCTCCGTGACCCGCATGCCGAGACGCCGCAGAGTCTGTTCCCCCAGGAGGAGTTGCACGATTCGCAGTAAAGAGTGCATCCAAGCACACTCAACATACCACGACACCATACCACACCTGCACAAGGGCTACAGCTCGGAGCCCAGGAGCCTGGGACATAAATCGAGTGTTGAACGAGTTGTCTCCTTGCACAGGCCAAGCACTGCGGATCACTGCGGCTTCGGGGGTTAGGCTAGGGCGTTCAGAGCTTCATTACCTTGATGGTGTTTGTCGGCCACCGCCTCACCAGGGTTCAGTGCATCGGAGTTGACACGCAGATAGGTGTGTCCAGCTACAGTACTCTCTGGCGGAAAACGCTTGTAGGGGATTGCATGTAACGGCTCGGCTAGCATCGAACCCTGAGAAGTGCGGAAGCTGCTTTCCCCTGTCAGATCTGTCAGCACCGTATCCTCTCGTGACAGACCGACGGATTCGTTTCATCCAAGAAAAAGTCGCAACGCCTGTGGAGGGCGGGGGCGAGGAGGACCCAAGCTGATCGGGTTTCGGAGCCGACCGGTTTCGCTTCGGCAAAGCACGGCCATGGCCGCCAGGCTAAGGCCGAAGCCGCCGAAGATACCACAAACGGCACTCCGCTCGGCTCACTCGCATTCACTCGCCCTCGCCATAGGCAGTCGGAATGTTGCAACAGCCGGAAACGGCATGAAACGGTGAGCTTGGACTTGATTGTAGCCACTTGTAGCGGTCGAGTCTTATCTTGAAGCTCCCAGATTCCAACAGCCATGAGAATCCGTAAGATTCCATGAGGCCACAAGGCATGTTTACGAAGCCCAGAATCCCATCATCCAGTTCTGGGTGTAAACACGCAGCGCTTGTGTTGCAGCACGTCAGCAGGAGTTGGAAGAGCTCATCTTGAAAGACAAGAAGGTCGGCATAAGGGCCAGAGCATGATAGAATATGATGGAGCAGCACCTGCTGGAAAACCGTTTGTGGGGGAAGCGCTTGCAGATGGCTTCGTGGCAGTGCAGGCATTCCTGAAAACCAAGTGCGCCGAATGTGGCGGCAGCTGCGGCCTTGCAAAGAAGTACAGGGAGACCATGTCGGCACGAAGCCAAGCGACACACAGCAGCTGCATCCATGCTCTTGACTATTGCTTTGCTGACAGGAACGGGGAAGGCACAGGGGATGAGGAAGGAAAAGTGAGGCAAGAAACTCTTCGGGCAGGAACTCCACAGGTGGCAAACCTTTACCAATTGCTTCCCAGCGAGTGTGTTCGAGCTCGAAGGTTCACGAGTTTGAAGGTTCGAAGGATTGAAATCTAGAAGATCGCGAGTTTCAAGGTTCCTGGAACCATGAAAATCGAGACTTTCGATCTTTCAAGATCTCGAAGTTTGCAATTGTCGAGCCCCAGCGGCTGCTTCGAACTCAATCTCCAAACCTTTGCCGCTTCCAGTTCGATCGGCACTCAAAGTTTGCATGTCGAAGGCTTGTTGAGGTCGCGAGTTCAAGAGTTTGCGAATGCGAGCGATTGAGAGTTCGACAGCTTGGAAGCTTGAATTGTTTGAGAGTTCGAATGCTTCGAACTTGAAATGTTCGCCTCAAGAACGTTATATCGCCTGATATACCGCCTGAGAACTTCGAGAGTTCGAAGGTTTGGAAGCTTGGTTAGATGGTTTCAACCGCATCGAGTTCGAACGTTCGACGGTCTGCCGAACTCCCAAATTGAAAGTTTAAGAGTTCGACAAGCTGATAAAAGTCGCAATATGGTTATCCGATTGACTCCAATGAAAAACTGAGAGTTCGAAAGGCCCGGCATCGGTTCGCGTATGGAGGTTCTCACGCTCGGCTCTGCATAATGAAAGTAATTCGTGTACCAAGTCTTTAAAGGGCCTTGCAGACCTTGGAGCTCGCGGACCGTTGTGGGGGTAGGCCTTCGGGCCAGGGTCCTTTCGAGGGCCCACACCCCTTCGCAAGCAAGCAAGCAAGCAAACCTGCAAGCAAGCAAGCCAGAGACCTGATAATCACTGATAATGCAAACTTACTGCAACTCCGGGATTCTTCCCTCCAAAGACAAGTGAGCGAAACATGACTTAGCCGTCGAAATCACATGAAATATGCGACAGTGTGACTTTTCTCTTTTCGACCTGTCCTCCACCGGAAGTGGTGGTGAAGCCTTCCAATTGAAACTGACCTGCTATGCGGGCTCGTCCTTGCGAAGGAGGAGGCGAATCAAACATAATTCCATGTAATCCCCATACTCAATACATCGACCGTGAAGGCTAGATGATACATATGATACTCAGGCCGCACACAAGAGTAGCTCTCAAAAATCTTCCGAGCTTTCGAGTGTCGATTCTTGCAATAAGTTTTAGAACTCTCAGATGTTCCAAATTTCGACGTTTTACTCCCTTCAAGACTTCAAGCTTTTTTTCTGTCACTCTCGGGCTACAAATTCTGAAATTCAGTTTCCCCGGAGGTGCCGTGCGGTATCGCGCGGCCTTCCGTCGCCTCATGTAGCCGCATCCTTTGCCTCACGCCCGTCAATGCCCGTCACGCGGCTCGCATCGCCGCTGTTTCTACTCGTAACTTTCCAACTGAGATCCTGTTTTCAATCTCCAGACGTTGATATCCGTAGAACTGCAAATGTTGGTGTTACTTGTCGAGCTTTCAATCTCTCCAAAATCTCGTGCCCCGTGTGAAATGTTCAATAATTGAAAGATTCGAGCTCAAAACCCTGCATCAGCTATTTGGCAAAATGCGTTCCACGGGCCCAAGAACCCCAGACGCACTGCTGGGACTGCCACCCTGGGCCTGCCTAAGCTTTTCCTGTGCTGTGTCCCGGAGTCCCTGCAAGCGTGCTTGCCCACTTCGATGACGGCAGGTCCACTTTTTTGACAAGGGGGGTACGAGCAAGCAGAGGTAGCCACGTTCACGTGCACGATTCTGTGAGGTTATCATCAAGAGCATGATCGAACCTGGGCTGCACCCGAAATGCAGCTTGTTTCAGTGTGCAGGGTTCTATTTTGTGTTTTTGCATTCTTTCTTCAGCTTCGGGTTTCGGCATCTTTGCGCCGCTGCTGTACGGCAGAATCGTTCAAGGGCCTCCTTGCTTGCAGTGTGACAGCATCATGCCGGCCTGTTTCCCGCCATGAAAAGAGCTTCGGTCAGCGGTTGATTCATGCGCATCTCAGGACACATTTTGGTGTCGCGATTGTGGCCGAGTACTTTGTGACACGCATCGCTATCAGCACACATGCGAAAAGCTTGATGCATTGAAGGAGAAGAATGCCACTCAGCTCGATGTGCACTTTCTCTCAATGCTCTGCTCTATCGTCATGCTACAACTACATGTTTTGGTTTGCCCTTTCCGACACGTCGGCTCTGAGCCTGCCATGCGCCCATAGCTACCGGTCATCTGCCACAATTGTTTAGCATGGCGTTTGTAAGGCGAAGATCACCAAAGAGGCGCTTCTTGAGCAGCTGCGAGCAGACGAGGAGCGCATGGAGGCTGCACAGGCAGGACAAGTGCCGCAAAGTTTCCAGACGCTGCATTCCCATGAACCCCAGCCAAGTCCTTGTGAAATGCCGCGAGCCCATGGGCCAATGAGGGGCCCGTGTCTTTTGCTTAGGCGGCTGCTAGAGCCGAGCAGCGTCGTGCAGCTGAGCAACTTGAGCAGGCCTGTGCCTTGAGCTTGGGTCGGCCCTTGGCACGACAGGGTACTGCACAACTTTCGGCCTTAAAGCCTGCAGTTAAGCCAGTAAGTAAGCAACGTCCCCAAAGCCCCCAAGGAAGGGCCCCGTACATGGGGCGGGGTCTGTTGCTTACAGGACCCTTACTAACCTAGAGCAGGAAAGATGATATGCAAGCCAGCTACTCGAAGCCAGCATGTAGAAGAGCAATGTAAAGAATCCGACACTGGTCCTGCTGCATGGACCTTCCAAATTCCCGACCCTGTCCAAGGCATTGAACACATTCCATCTCAAAAGTATGCCTCAAACAAGGCCTCTGCGGCTCCGAGTCACGTGTATCAGGGCCTGACAACCAGAGCTTCCCGAATAGCAGCAAGACGGTTTGCCACCAAGGGTGGACGAAGCCGATGGTTTCATGAATCTTGAGTGCCAGCAGCGCGGCTTCCACTGCAGGAGAAGTCGCAGCGGAAGGCGAAGAGAAAGATTCTGGCGACCAAGGTTTCCCATCAGTTGCAGCGAGCAGATGCTTTCTTGTGCCTATGAATCTAGGATTTGCCTTGACATGCAGTACAGCACACACGTGAGCACAATTGAAACTCGGACATCCAAGAGCTTCACTCCGTACGTGATCTCAAGCAGCATGTCAGCTTGTTGGAGCGCGATGGCACAAGCTGACAGTGCAGGTACTTGGGAAAGGCGTCCCATCCTCATGTCCTATCTTGCATTGGCCCACGCCAGAACCCCTGGTCCAAACGGTCTTGACCCTACTCACTTGGAAGTGCGGGGCAGAAACCCCAATTGAGGGTCAAACTTAGACTCTTCGAAAGAAGGAAGAGCGGCATGTAACTTGACTTAGTTCACACGTTGTACAACAAACGGAACAACGAGCT